AATTAGTAGAGAAAGATTGATTTTCTGGAAAACCCCAAAGTATCTACACAGTCCCTTAAATTGCATCCCTGCCCTTGAATAAGTATAGTTACAGCCAATTGCTTAAAAATAAATTTCTTGTGCTTATTATTTTAATCATCATTGATCTGTCTTAAACATGACCACATGCATGCTCCAAAGATATCTAATAAATATTGAAACAAAAATGGCCTCCCAAAATCTAGAATAGTTCCACAGAAATTAAAAATACCAAGGAAAAATGTGTCAATTTTTGAATTATGCTTTACAGTGTGGCCATATTGAAACCCTTCTGGGGAAATTTCACATGTAAAACTGTAGTTAATCAAATTAACTTTACAAGTTAGGAGAAAGCACCTATTCAAAAGGAATCAGAGATTAAATGTGTACAAGCTACTAATTAGCTTGCTTTTAGTTCATTAACAAAGAAAAATATATATTGTCACTTCATATAGATCCTTACAAATTCCTTAATAAAATTCAATACCAGTTCTTGATTTAAAAAAATAAAGGAACTAATGAAAAAGTTTAGGAAACTAGGATTTCAAAGAAGCTATTTTAGCCTGATAAAGTGGTTCTCTCAGAAACCTATAAATATCATTTACACACAGGCAAACACCCCCCCACACACACCCATACACACATACAATGAGGCAACATTTCTATCAAATCTTTAAACTCATTTTAATTATTTGATTCTAACGTTCATGGGAGAGTCAGTGCATTTGAAGAGCTAACATAATTTAACTTTGAAAAGAAAATCTAGTTTTCTACTTAAAAAGATGAAACAGAAGAAAGTTATCCTATAAGTAACTAAAATTCAGAGTAACAGCATGGTGACTTGCACAGGGTGGCACCTTGTACAGGGCAGATTTATATGTCAATAAACCAGCATGCCTATAAACCCACTCATGTATAAATGTAAAGGAGTCTTGTATCTAACGAGTCTGCATTCCAAGTTAATAGTAAAGGCTAAATAATATATTAAGTTTTTATTTTTCTTTATAAATATTCATAAACTATGAATAAAACTATATTATTAATCATTTTCCCAAAAGCCACTTGAAGAAAATAAATGAGATAAGTAGGACACCAAAAACCAGAACCAAACCAAACCAAAGGAAGACAAAATGGGGTTGTATGCAATGGATCTAAACTGTGCCTGTGTTTCTGTGTGCATGTGTTGCAGGGAGGGTGGGTGGCTACATCTCTGTGAAGGAGCCAGAGGCTGACCACAGAGATGGTTTCAATCACTTTGCACCTTAGATTTGAGACAGGGTCTCTCACTGTACCTAGAGTCTCTTGTTAGCTGGACTGGCTGTCCAGTGAGCTCCTAAAGGTCTTCCTGTGTGCCTTCCCTATTCTGACATTACAAAGCGTTCTCACTTCTAGTGCTTTTAAGGTGCTTTTTCTAGTACTAGGGCTCTGGGCTCAGGGTCTCATGGTTTTACAGTACATGCTTAATTGACTGAGTACTTGTATCAGTCCCTTCAAACCATGCTTTACAGCAAATGATACTAAGATCAAAGGGGAAACACAAGTAACAATTTACAACACTACAATACTATTCTAAAAAAAAAAAATAAGGTAAAAAGAAACAAATGGCATACTGGCAAAGGACAAATAAATGAATTCAAATAAGAAGATAAAAATGGGCCAAAAGAAAGATACATGAAATAAAACCTTCAGTCAAGTTCAAATTCCATTTAAATGAGAAAGAGAAAAGCAAAGTGTAAATCAAGAGAGTCTTTCATTCAGTACTACGTAACTCTGCAATGATTCCAGAGTACATGTGGCATGATCATGTACATGATGGCTGAGCAAAGTGCACAGCACAGCAGGCAGGGATGTGTGTGTAAGCCCTGAGTGTGCCTGATGACTAGGGGAGGGGGTGGGGAGGTGGAGGCTGAAGTTTTCATAAGACTTTGCCTGTCTTTGGAAAAAAGTATAAGGAAAAATAGTAAATAGGTAAAAATAAGTAACTGGCATTTCACCTTTAAAAATTCATCTCAACATTTAAAAAAGGATTCAATTAGAGGTTAGGGTTATGGTTTGACTCACTACCAAGCATGACACAGAGATGGTGCCCATGATCCTTTGAAGATTCCTATAGACATTTATACAGACAGTTTTGGCTACACAGTTCCAGCTGGCCTTAAATCAACCCACTCTTGCCTCATCCACCCAAGTGGCAGGAGTTATACGTGTCTTAAGCATCTACCATCACACTTAGGTCATGGAAAGTTTTTGACAAGGGAACTAGCCAGTCTAAAGTCATCACTCAATAAATAAATATGAACATTTATCCTTTTATATGTTTATTTTTAGCCATATGAAGCTGATGCTTTTTCCAGGTTAAGAAAATATTATGTGAGTATTCTGTCTTAATATTGTAGATGTTTTTAAAAAAACAAGAATTAAATCCAGGGCCCTGTGTATGCCAGGGAAGTACTATACCAGATGAACCACATTTCCAGCCCTAGGGTTTATTATTATTTTTGAACTTTTGAAGTTGTGTTTTATCCTGCTGAGAGGATTATTCCCCTAAACATGATCATTTATCAACACTTTAAACTATACATATATATACACACATACATACATATGTATATACACACATATGATCAAGAGTTCTCAATGGTACTTTAAGCCACAAACAACACTCGACGACTTCTGTAATCAAAGAGTAGACACTTCCAAATGCTCAGCACTAGAGTATCGAAGGGTTTACTCCGTGTGAAAAACAACACATTTAGCAAGCTCACTCAACCTTTTCTCTGTGGATAAGGACTAGGATGGTCCTGTCCTGCCTACTCTAAAACTCTCTTAGTCTTAAGCTCATACATCTCAGAAGGGGCTCAACTTTGACAACTGCTGAAATAAAAAGTTTTGATAGCAGCCAACTAAGTCACTTTGGAACAGTACATTTTAAACCATGTAGTTCTTTTTCTTAGAACTTAGGTCTTTAAGTAAAATACCCCATGGATTTTTGAATAAATTGAACAAATGTTACTATTACCATTTTCAATAGAGCATACCTATCATGACCAATAAAACTGTGATGGATGAATGCTAACATACATATTTCAGAAATAAGATTCAATTTGAAAGAAAAAGTTTTCTCAAAAATAAAGTGTCAGTATTAATTATATCATCACATCCCTCAATCTTCATCAGAGAAGCTTCTATTCACAGTAGATGGCAATAGACATCTACTATGGAGATAGTAGATGGAGATAGACAACTAGTTAAGGTATAGAGAAAGAATGACTCCAGAATCCCCAGCCCTATAAGGGACATCTATATCATGCCCCTGTTCCCAAGATCATTACAGAAGAGGGGAATAAAGGAGTACAAGAGCCAGAGACAGCAATGGCCACAAAGAAACTGTGTCTACTATGAAAGGACAGGGACAGCAGGGACCTGACATGTGCAAGCTCAAGCCAGACCAACATGGAGAAAGGTGGTAGGCAAGGAGTCTCACCATTAGCTGAGGCTGTATTAGCAAGTGAAATGGAGAAAGTGCATTTTTGTTTAAGAGTATAGCCTCTGGTGAGTCAACTCCCCTCCAGTGGAAAGCTATAGTCTCAGGAATATATGGGCAAGACAGGACTACTTGGACTTGATGTTAAAAAAAAAAAGTGGGTAGGGTGAATTTAGAAGGAGCTGAGGACAGGGGTAAATATGATAAAAAATAAATACTTTTGTACATGACCGAGGTTTAATAATTGTGTAGACTTTTTTCTCTCCGAAAATGAATGATATACTCGTTTTATCTCTGGCACAGATTTTAGAATTATAATGCTAGCCATTTTTTTTAATTAAATGAGAAAAACAGCAATATATTTTCCTCCCCAAATTTAAGAGCCGTTTTTATCCATTCATCTTATTTATAGAGAAACTGGCAAGACAGAACAGGAAATGTTTATCAAGCACTTCAAGAAAATGAATTGCTCCTTAAATTATTAGTAATCACAGATGTCACTGTCACGTTAGCCTTTTGGTTTGTCACACGTTTGCTCTAGAGCAGGTCCCCTTCTGACCAGTGCCCATGGTAGCCTCCTTGTTGAGCTTTGCTGTCTGTCTCACACTATAGGCAATTAAACAAATGCTTTCCAACAATTTAGTTAATTTATAGAAAATGGAATCAATTTCCCTCGTTTCGTTGAGATTGAACATTTTCCTCAGCTTCTGTAAATGAGCAACAGATAAGCCCTATTTATCACACCATTGGGTAGAGCTTGCAGTTTTGATAATTCTGTTTCCTTGTTAATGTTAATGAGATATGTAATATGCCTCAAGAAAAAAAAAAAACACTTGAGGAGGTTGGCCCCTAAACACTCAAGATAAAATGAATATTTTTCTCTGAGTGTATGCTACACTCTGTAAGTTCCCAGAGGGTGGGAACAATGTACTTCAGTGTCTGAAAAGTCTTACAGCCTTGTGCTCTGGTCTACACTGTTGCCAGAGTCCTGGATCTCCCCTTGAAGCCAACAAATCCTATGCTGTTTAGTCAATGCAACAGATCCGAAGCACTGCTCTCTTTCTAATGTCTTATCATTTGGGGGATATTTAGTTTACAAAAACAGTGGGGAGTACCATTTGATCCAACTTTCTTCCCAGGCCAAACAACAGCTATGCCCACCAGGCATGACATATGCAAACTGGAACCAGCACACAAATGCAAAGGCGGGAGAGCTGAAGATTTTTTTGTGCCATTCAACTTTTCCAGAATTAGATGTTTTTGTTTTTGTTTTTGTTTTTTTTCGATCTACAGAGGGAGAGAATTATGTGGAATACTTCATAAAACTAAGCAACTCTTTTTCCTGTTCAAGCAGGTTAATCGCAATTACATGTGTGAGAGGGACTGGAAAGATAGACTGAACAGCTTCTGAAGTTGAAGAGACAAAAACTGGACTACTTTTAAAAGTCAGATGGGTGGAGACTGGACAGCTGACTTGATGCATCTCCCCATCACTTACCAAGGTCCATGCTCTTGGAGGCTTTCAGGTTAATCGATTCAGGCTGCCTGGCTGGTGTCACAATTCTGAAGTTGACATGTTGATCTGGGAAATATCCTGTGGAATCCACTCCAGAGCTATGGAAAGAGGGTGTGTGTTATATTTGGATTGAGACTAAGAGGCAGGGAGGGAGGAAGATTATGGGTGGACATGGATACATACTTCTCACACTGCACACATTTCCTCATCATTTTCCTTCAGCCTGCAGCCATGTATTTTTTTTATTATATTTAATCTTTTTTTACAGTCCAGTTACTACCCCCTCTCGTTCTGCCCTCTGGCAGTTCCTCATCCCATTCCTCCTCCTCCATCTCCAAGAGGATGTCCTGACCCCTACAACCCCCACATTCTGCAAAGCCTCCCCATTTCCTGGGGCCTCAAGTCTCTCAAGAATAAGGTGTGTCTTTTCTCTGAGGCCAGGCAATCCTCTGCTATATATGTGCAAGGGGCCTCAGAGCAGCTAGTGTATGTTGCCTGGTTGATGGCTCAGTGTCTGAGAGATCTCAGGAGTCTGGGTTTGTTGAGACTGCTTGTCTTCCTATGGGGTTGCCCTCCTCCTCAACTTCTTCCAGCTTTTCCCTAATTCAACCACAGGTGTCCCTGACTTCAGACCATTGGTTGGGTATAAGTATCTGTACAGCCATTATTTTAAACCTACTCTTGACCCTCAGACTTCTTTTATGGAATGTATCAGTTCTGGCCTATATATGTTCTCTTGCAATGTAATTTAACTATTGTGTTTGGGTTAATAGCGTCTTTTGTTCTTCCAGTGGATTCTGCTAATTAGGATCCTGCTATATCATATACACCTCAGGTGGGTGAGGGGTATTCAGCAAGCTCCAAGACTTCAAAGGATGTGGCTAGATACTACCCCAGCCCAAAGTGGGCTAAGAGATTCCTAGGGGATAAGTGGGGCCTTTTAAAGAGCAGTGAAAGGGATGTCTCCATAAAGAAAACCATCTTGAATGACTGATGGCTGCAGGAGACTGAGTTTTACCTTTTTCGGTGATCTTCAAAGAGTAATGTTAATGCAAGCAGAGTCTGTCCATCAATAACACCAAAAGAAAGCCACACGAACAGCACAGTTGACAATTTAGACACAAATACATTAAATGCCCTTTATGGATTTCTTAGTACTTGGGGTCAATCTAGAGAATGTTGCTTCTACTGAATACTCTATTTTGTTTGGGGGTCCAGTACAAAGGATTATATAAAGAAATTTCAGACAGTGGCTTACTTTTGTTTAGAAAGAAGTAAGTACTCACTTTCTATAAATTAACTTGCAACTGCTTTCTCCTTTATACTCGGGTTTGCTAAGGTGTATATGAGCAGCTCATCTCAGCATGATTTCTATCCTAAACTCAAACTGGGTGACAAATCTGAATCCTTAGACAGTCTGAAAGGATTGAGGTTGGGCATTTTAAACATCAAACAGCAACAACTACCTTAATCTTCAATGAGGATTCCTCTAAAATGCAGAGAACAATCTCAACTTTTATACTAAATACAGTAGCCAAGTTTATTTTTTAATTTGTCATTGATGTTTAATATTTCCTGTCATTATTGTGAAATAGTAATCCTTATGAATGAATAAATGAGCCTATACTATTATAACTTAGTGGGTAGAAATAGAACATCTCCTGAGAGGTACCACAGTATATTATGCAAGAGTCAGGGTCATAGAACACAAAGAACCAGTTTACATCCTGACTGCTACTTGCTAGATGTGTGACTCAGGCAAGTCATTGTACCACAATGTCCTTTTACATAAAAGGAATATAATCATATTGTCCACCCTTAGGCTTCAGTCTCCTCATCTATAAAATGTGAAGTAAGAGCCTCACTCTTTAAGGCCATTGTAAAAGTTTTATCAAATTCAGATATGCAAAATAGTGAGAATAGACCCTACCACACAGTAAGAACTCAATGTTTGTCATATTTTAATATTAGTAAGCTGCATTTCTGTGTGCTAAGGTGGCTACAGAATGAAGGCTCAGGATTCTCTCCAATGCAAACAGTATACTCATTTCCATGAAAACTATGTAGAAAATTTGAGTTTACTCTTTATTGTTACATGGATTCTTAGGGTTTCTTTCTTTCTATCTTGGTACATTGTCAATGGAGAAAGCCTTCAAGTGCTATAGACATGTCCAGTGATGCCAGAGAATGCCAACTGTGCCCAAAGAATCCATGACTCATTTAGTGTTACTGATGCCAACATGGTCAAATGCAAGTATTCTTATTTCTCCTTGTAATTTTACAGAATTCTGAGATGCTACTGAGATCACAGCTACCTCGTGCTTTGGTGCTTTGACAGCATGTGTCTTTACATGTGTTATTCATCCTTTATTTTGCACATAAGATTTTATGGTTTGATCTTGAGTGATGATGCAGGTTTAATATCATCAGGACACATGATCTTGACAGATTCAAAGATGAGACAGAAGGAATTAAGGGCCATCCATCTCTTAGATAAGAGTTTGAGGCTCAAAGAAGGGGACTGGTGGTCCTAGGTCACACAGCTGCTTAAGAGCAAACCCTGAACCCAAGTCACAAACTTGGATTAAAATACTGGTTTGAATACATAAATATTAAAGTCTTCTCCTTCTAAATTGAAGGTCTGATTAGTTTCCTAAGTAACTTGCATTTTAGGTTTGTTAAAGAAAACCAAGTAGCTGATCAAAGATGATGCTGGATATTTTAATGACAGCCTTCAGGGAAGATGTTTATGGCCAATATGAATATTCCTCTTCAAAACAAAGATTTCACTGCATTTAAAGCCCTCTGCTCATAACAGACTACCCAACTGCTGAGTGTATTGGTTAAGGTAGTTCAGCCTCTTAGATTATCTTTTCAGTGACTTGCATGCCAAGAATAAGAGCTCAAAGCATCTAAACTTTTGGGAAATAATCATTCTTACCTATCACTATTCTACAAATAGGATGGTGAAGACATATGATTGAGTATCAAGTTAGGATCTGCTCAAACAAAACAAATCTATTTTTATAAAAATATTAGGATATAACTGAGGAAAATAGGATAAATGAAATCTGTACTGTACATATGAATGTTACAAATCATTTACCCATATATACATATGTCTGATTACATCCATTAATTTGATGTTATATACATCTGTTACCATTATTTCAAATGTGTCTAAATGCACAGCTTGAAATGTTCACTAGAAGGATCCGTATTGCCATCTTACAAACTGGAAATGCAAAAGAAAGCTGAAGTCAAACCTGTAGATATTTAAGGTGAGACATGAGGGTAATGCAAGACATGATGGGGTTACAGCCAACGTCAGCAGCTAGCACACTGAAGAAATGAGTATAGTATTGAATCAGTTAATGCAAAAAATATTATAGCCATGTAAGTTTGATGGGTTGAATTGTTTGCAATTTTATGTTACATATCGAACGCATTAGGAGTCAGGGTGACACAATGATTAAGTATAAAATATGACATATTTTAATTTTGAAGAAGTTAGCATGTGCTCATGGCTGAGTGGACTGCAGTGGAGGCCGTGGGAAGCTGGAAGCTGACAGCAGGCCAAAGACATGTCCTAGATAAAGGCCGTGTTTTCAGCATGAACAACCAGGGAATCTCTCAAATAGAAATGATACTCCTGTCAAATTATGCTGCATAATGAATAAATAAGGGCAGCAAGAAACATATGCCGCTGTCCTGAAAATGGTAAGAAACCAAGAATATGAAAGACATAGGAGTCAGGAGTGGACGCTCAAGGAGAACTCTCTGAAAATAAAAGACAAGGAGAAAGATTTGGAAGATCGGCCAAGAAAATTGTTTGCAGCATTACGGATCTAAGCCTTGTATATGTAACAGGGGATATGAATAATGAAGGAATAACCAAATATTGTCTAAATTGCTAACAATATTATCTCAGTTAGGGTTTCTATTGCTATGATAAAAACACATGAGCAAAAACAATTTGGAGAAATAAGAAAGGGTTAATTGGATTTTACAGCATATAGTCTATCATCCAGGAGCTGGTGCAGAAACAAGGGATAAATGCTGCTTACTGACCAGTGGCTTCAGTCTGATTTCTTATAGCATCTAGAACCACCTGCCCAGGGGTAGCCCCATCCACAGTTACCTGTGCCCTCCCATATCAAGAAAATACCTCCACAGACTTGCCTACAGGCCAATCTTATGGTAGCATCTTCTGAATTGACAGTCTCTCCTAAATAACTCTAGCTTGTGTCAGTTGACAAAAACTAGCTAGCACAGCTACTCAACACAGTCTGTTACTGTTTGATTTAATCACTCATTGAGATTTCACAGCAAAAACCACATTTCCCATATATTTTGTTTTTATTCATACAGATTTTAAACTTCTCTCTTATGCAACGTCATTGATATAACAGAAATAAGTTCTGATTTCATGTTGTTTTAAAGAATAGGCATTAAATTTGATCAAGTCTACTTTCCCATCTCTATAAGCTTTTCTTGTATAAAGGAAGACTTGACCTCTGAAAGTATACATTTCCCTTGTGGAGAGCTTTTCCATGTTTGATTTGAAAGGTGTTGTGGGTGGGGGCAGCCTTCCTTGTTCAACTTCTCTGGCTCCCTTCCAGTCCTTCCTCACACATCCAAATCCCACTGCTGCTGGTCACCTAGGCAACACAACAGCTTGCAGGATGGTACAGGTCACAGGTTCCCAGGAGGAGGGAGAGAGTTGCAAAGCATTAAGACTTGTTTTATCCACCGCAGAAATGTCTCTGTCCTTTCCTTCCATATAATTTCTCCTTTCTCTTAGATTCTGCTACCCTCGTGTCTAACAAGTCCCATGGGCTATAGCTTCCCCATCCACACATGAAATTGCTCAGGGTTTGACACTCATCCCTGATGTTGAAACATCCAATGCTTCTCCACTGCTCAAGGTGCTCATGGAACATGGCTGAGCAGCTGCCATGGATGCATCCTCCAGATATCAAAGTTTTGGCTATATTGAACACAGCACTCTTCCCTCTCCTGCCAAGACTTTTCTTCTGCTGCTTCTCTGCTTCATGGGCCCCCTCATTTTCCATGAATCCACTCTTTGTCCTTCATCCTGCAGACAGAGTTGGGGTTCAGGCTTCCGGTCTCCCAGTGCATTTTGTACTGACCTCTCCATCCTAATTAACTGCGTGTTTAATCTTAAGAGAAAAAATATTTTTTCTTTAATTTATAAAGTTTTTTGTTTCTCTATTAGCCTACAAGGAGTCAGTTTTTCTCATGGCATTTTTCCAACAAGAACTTTTCATTATTTTTTTCTTTTCCTCACTCCGTCCTCACCACATAAACTATCCCACTCCTTGGCCTCTTCCATTTGCCTGTCACATGTGATCTGCTGTGACTGTCCCTCTGTCAATACTTCTACTTCCTCTTTAGGTTGCCTCTATGATTTTGTAGTCTATATGTACTCTTACAAAGCAATCTCTTATTTACATACATACATACAAGCTTTAAAAGTTTCCATCTGATTATGAGAGAGAATGTGGGAGTTTTGTTTTTCTGGTTTGGGTCACCTCTCATAGTGTACTTTCCCTTTCAAGCCATAATCCTGCAAGTTTCCCAACTTTGTCTGCTGAATAGATGACATATATATATATATGTGTGTGTGTGTGTGTGTGTGTGTGTGTGTGTGTATGTGTATATATATGTGTGTAACATTTCATCATCTATTTTCTTGTAGATGTGTATCCAGGTTGGTTACATTCCATTGTTTTTGTGAATACTACAGCAATATACATGGACTTGCAAGTCACTCTGTAGCAGAATAGAATTCTTTAGGTATATGGCCAGGACTGGTATAGCTAGGTCGTATCATAGTTCAAATTTTTTTTCCTATCTTTGTTTTTGTGGTTATATGAAATTTTTGAAAGCATTTCCTTAATTTTTGAAATTATGAATTAATTATATAATTTCAACTTTCTCTTTCCTCTCTTCAAACCCACCCACGCACCACTTTCCACTCTCCTTCCAATCCATGGTTTCATTTTTTAAAAATAATTGGTTTTGCATGCACTTATCTGCACACACACACACACATATATATATTCCTTCATATAGCCTATTGAGTTCATATACTGTGACTTATATGTACGTTTTCAGGGCTGACTGGTTGGCACTGCACAACCAATTGGTGTGCTCTTCCCTAGGAAAGCCCACCTCTCCCAGTCCTGGCTTTCTTCAGTTGCCTCTGTGTAGGGTTGGAGGCGTTTGGATGTTGTCTTCATCCACTTTGGCTAGGTCATTGATGTCATCCTTGTCCAGTTCATGTTTGGGTGGCCATGCTGGTGAGACTTTATGGGTATAGCTTCTGATGTTGCTGGAGGCAGAATCTCACAGCAGACTCCCCAATTCTCTGGCTCTTACAATCTTCCCACCCCGTCTTCTGCAATGTTCCTGAGTTGCAGGAGTTTTTTGTAGATGTATTCTTTGGGACTGGGCTCCACAACTCTGCATTTGGATTGCTTGTGGCTTTCTTTAGTGGATTCCATCTATGGCAAAGAGAAGTTTTCACACCAAGTTCTTTGCCGAATAGACTTTTCTTTAGTGTATGTTCTCAATGTGTTTGTCAAAATTAGGTGCCCATGTATTTGTGGGTTTATTTTGGTGTCTTCTCTCCTATTCTTTTGACAGATGTACTTGTTTTGGTATAAACACCAACCTATTTGGTTTGTTTGCTTTTGTTTTATTACTGTAGCTCTGTAGTTCAAAGTCATGTCCTGGGATATCTCCAGCAATGTTGCTTTTGCTTAGGTTTTTGCCAATCTATTTTCTACTGAATTAATCTTTGTGCTACCTCGATGGAATTGTGCAGCAAACACAGAAGGAACTGTAAAGTAGAGGGAACGAAACTGTGTAGAATACTGATTTCTGTATGTCATCAAATTCATTTTGGATTCAAGATCAAGACAGACAATGTAGAGAATGAGCAAAACTAACTGCATTCTACGTTCTTTTTTTTTTAAAAAAAAAAATCCCTACTGACATTGGCCTAGCACATTGTGATTCCCAATGTTCTTCATGATAATGTTTTGAGAAAAATAACTGATTTCAAAATCTAAAATCAGATGCAGTTCAACATAGGCAGGCTTTCCTTTGATAGAGTTCACTATACTCTTGTGTAGCCTTATTTTTAGCCCATTGTATTAAAAAGCATAATAGAAATGACACCAGCGTTGGTGTAAGAAAAATGAAGAAATTTCACAGGGTTATCATGGGAAACAGAATGGAATAAAATACACAGTTTTTTAACAGCCATAATAAATACAGAAAATAGCAAAGAGACAATTTAATGATTTTTAAAACTCATCAGAAGAACAAAATCTATGAATTCCCCTAGTTAAATAGTATGTATCCTTAGTAAATCTTCCGCTTTTGTGCCTGTGTGAATCTAAAAGTTATTGATTTTCTAGTTTCTATTACAGAGCGGCTATAATATTGGGTACCCTTTTCGATATTTTAGATTATATGGTGCTGCTTTAATTTTTAGGTTCCATTAACTTTCTTGGAGCATCTATTTTTAAAATTCCTTTCGGGTTTGCCAATTACAAGTGAAAAAAAAAAAAAGAAAACCTGAGACTTTGTGCTTCCTAGGTTTTACTTTGCACCTTCCTATGTAAGAGAGTTGTTTGTTTGTTTGTTTGTTTTTTGGTTTGAGTTTTCTTTGTTTGTTTGTTTTTTGAGTTCTGCTATTCTGGTCTACAAACTTGTAAGAGAAAATCAACTATTTTCTTAGTGATGTTAATTATATAAGATGAATCTCAATAAATTCCAATAAGCCAGTTATGAACAATGTAAGCTCTTAGTTACGAAAAACCTTTCACTGGGGAGGAAAAATGGAGACTATGAGATTTCCATTCTGCAAAGAAATTGAGTTAAAATAAGGTTGCTGAGTTTTCCCAGAAAAAACTATAACAGGGAACATTATGATATATCATTTTATCGATACCTGTGACTGAAATCTTCAAGGCCCCATTCTAGACCAGGATGTGGTGGCGGGGACGGTGGTACTTCATTCTCGGCCCACCCATCACTGGAAAGCAATAGGTCTATAAAACAAGGAACAAATGAAGCTGTAGTAAACCAGAGGGAGAAGAAGCCAGAGCTTACTTGTATTTCAGTCCATCTCTCACACATAAACCAACTTTGAAATCAATAAGCCTTCACCTGGATAGAAGGAGTCACATGAATGTTCCCTGGCTGAGATGACCTGGGCCTCCTAACGGGTGTCTATGTGGGTGACCTGCTCACTGGCCAGTATGGCAAATAAATCTACTCATCTCCATGACCTTTGGCTACCTGGGAAACCTCAGTGCTTATCAATATTCCTGACTTGTAGGAGACTCATAAAACATTTCTTTTATACCTTAACATTTTTGAAAGTGTGATTCTATAATAAATACTCTGAATTATAATTTAGGCATTTACCTGAGTGGGAAAAAGTACTGAAGAAAATGTCTTGAGACCTGGGATACTTTTCAGTGTTTAGACAAAGCAGGAGGGAAAGTTGCACTTTTTCTATCTGTACCATAGAGAGGCCTTGGAAGCCAAAGATGGGAGTCTGAATTTGGATTTTTCTACTTGATAAAGTGTGTTACTCTTCTCAGCTTATTTGGTAGTGGAAAAATGACATGTACCTTGATCATCACTATTACCAACAGAAGAGAGTTCTGATGAAACCCTGTGGGGCATATTGTTCATTCTGAACATTTTTTTTCCTTTAATACAATGACAAAATTTATTGTGGGTGAAAAGAATTGTAGAATGTTCTGGTTAAAACAAAGGCTTTTGCTATTTTGTTTGTTTGTTTGGGTTTTTTGTTTTGTTTCTGTTTGTAGTAGGACTTCCTTTTTTCAGTACTTGGCTCCTACTGTCCTGTAGGAGACCATCACCCAACTTCTCCAATCCTCAAACTTTAAATATAGAAAATGATGTTATAAATACCTTCCCTATGGTGGGGGATGGAGCGGAGTTCAAAAACCTTTGCCTAACATGCACAAAATCCTGTCTCTTACATCACATACCACAAAATAAAATGACAACATAAAGACCAGGCATGAGAACACACACACACACACACACACACACACACACATCTTTAATCCAAGTACTTGGTAGAACAGATAGAACTACTTAGATAAACAGTATTTAAAAAACAAACAAACAAACAAACAAGGACAAAAACAACAAACAATATAAACTGGAATGTACAGCCTGTGATAGAAGAGGAGGTAGATTAAATCAGGCAGCACAGTGACTACTACAAATAAAGTGCTACCATTAACATATAAAATGTTATCATGCTATAAAAGGTAAATTCCACTGTTTATCTAATCAAGTGAGATATTTGATATATTGTGGGCCTGATTTTCCCCTGAAGGTTGGAAGAGACAAAGTTTTCTGTCATCAAGAATTGTAGGTTGGAAGAGCACCTACCTGTATATCTTCTAAGTGCAGTGGCATCTGCATGGTCCTCTGGGAGTTTTAGGGGTTGCCCAGAATGAGCTGTACTCTTTAATCAGTAAGCTAGATCCTGAAGATTGTCATTTCTGTGACATGTGACTCTTAAAAAGGTTTTATTAAGATTTTTTTTTTGCTTTATGGTGAGTGTTTTGCCTGTATGTATATTTGTGCATCACATGTATGCCTAATGCCTTCAGAGGTCAGAAGATGTTGGATATCTTGGAAATGAAGTTGCGAGTAGTTCTGAACCACCACATGGGCCTGAGAATCAAACCTGGGTTCTCTTCAAACCTGACAAGTGATCTTCATTGTCGAATGATCTCTCCAGCCTTGGCACATGGTTCTTATGTCATCTTGAAGGCTTATGTAGAACAAAGCCACGCTTTCCTGAATAGGAGAGAATTCCCTTGTCTTGGGTATCTTCAAACTGGTTTATGATTTTATTTTGGCTTTGCACTTAAACTGAAATATTAGCTCATCTGTGTTTTCAGGCCTGGTGGCTTATGGATGAGAATCATACCATTAGATTTACTAGTTTTAGTCATTAGATTCAGACTAGAACTCTACACAGTTCTGTTGGGTCTCAACTTGTTAATTCACCCAAAAGATCTTGTGGTTTGTCAGTCTTCACAATAATGTTAGACAATTATTTATTATCTATCTTTCGCTATATTATCTCTCTATCTATCTATCTATCTATCTATCTATCTATCTATCTATCTATCTA